TATATATATATATTTTCGAGATATTTCTGAGATATTATCAAAATATGAAAGGAATACGTGAGCTATATGAAGCTAACATGTTGGAAAGTTGTAAAGAAGTATTGGATATCGTCTTTCTGCTCTTTTTCATACATACTGCCCTTTCAATTTCTTGAGACATTTTTTGTTATATATATTCCAAGATATTGTCAAGATGTCTCATTTGAACGTGAACATAGATCTTTGTAACTTCAAGCTCAAAGAGGAATCGGATATTCTATCTTTCCGATCTATCCTTCTTGCTCTATCTAATACTTTCCTGCTTGCAATTTCTGAAACTGTGTAATATTCTCACTTCGAGTATCCAAATATTTTTCAAAATATCAAAAGGATTTCCATGGAAGCTAACTTGTGACTTTCAGCTAACGATCCTTTCGCTTCCAAGATATCAAAGGAATAATTCGCTTCGTGATTTCTAACTAGACAAACATTATCCTTTTTCTAATCTCTCTGATACATCTATTCTCGAAATTGAAGAAGCTTCAAATATTCCTTTCCTCGTTTCTCTATTTTATTAAATTTTCAAAGACGAATTTCAGAAGGGACGTCATCGTTTCGATTGAAGAAACACTGGATACGTTCTTTTTTTTTTTTTTTTTTTTGATAAATTTGCCCGTTCGATTTTCAAAATGATCGATCCAAAACGTCGATTTTTAAATATCTACTCGATAAATTTTCTCCAATTCTATTTCTTCGCCTCTTCTTCGGCCGATTTCTTCATCTCGTTCTCGTGCACGAGGACGGCCGATATCCGCGGATAGAACCTCTTCTTCACTACATCGAACCTCGTCACTTTCTCCTTCATTAAATTCCACATTTCCATCTGTTCCTGTTTCTTCTTCTGCTCGAGCTCCTCCTTCGTCAGCTCCATCAGTTTTTTCGGTGGCCTCACCCTCTTCGAAACAACTCTCTTCGGGACAGGCTCTTTCTCCCTCAGATCCTCCGATTTGATCGATTTCACCTCCTCGTCCGGCACCTCCTTCAGCACTTTCACAGGTGGCGCCATCAGCTTCTCCTCCACGGTCCAGGTGCTCAATTTCTTCGCGATCGCACGCTCCTGCCAGTCGCGGAGCTCTTTCTTCGCCTTGGTCAGCTCCTTGTGAAGCACGTATGGTGGCGCGTTCTTCATCATCAGGATCTTCCTCTTGAAGGCGCGTGTCGGTGGTGGGATGTGAATAATGTAATCGGTCAATCGTTTGTACCACTTGTTGTCTAAGACGAACGGCCTCGTTCTGTCGATCGCTTCTTCCTTCAATCTCTCCTCCTCCTTCCTCTTCTCCTCTTGCTCCTGTTTATATTTTTCTAGAACAGTAATTTTTTTTTTTTTTTTTTCAATAAAGTTGTCACTTTATTTCCTCGCGATTAGGAAAATTACTAGGACGAGGAGAAATTATTATTTTTTGTGGATTTGGAAATTGGGAGAAAATGGATGTATATGTGTGTATAAAATCGATTAATTTGATCAAAAATTGAAAAATGTGAAACAAACAAGTAAGAGCAATAAGTTTTTATCGAGTCAGGTGTAATGGATAAAACGAGATAAATTTATAATCGAGTAAATTCAATAGATACGTATTTACAGAGATTAATTTAGGAGATGTAGTTGAAAACAAAATCATTAACGCTTCCTTCCCTATATTTTTCTATTTAAATTTCATTGTTTCATTTAAAACGATAGTTTCACGTTATTTTTAATCATAAAAATGGTGGGAACAAAACCTGTACGGAACATCTGTATTACCTTCTAAGTAAAAATTCCGACATATTTCTTCAACGTGCTATTATGCTAATCTAACACATTTCTTCGTAACATACTATTATGCCTCTGTAATAATTCAGAAGGAGGTAAATTTCGAGTGAAATTTGCTTAAGTTGGAAGGTTCTGAAAGGTCCAAAAAATGTATCATTTTTCACAAAGCGCATAATCTAGGGAGGAGCTTTAATGTTTTTTTAACCACCTCTGACAATCCAAGTGAAATTTCGCTCCTGAATTTTATCCTTCAAAATTTGAATTAGCATCTAGAATATTTTAAACAAATTTTCCAAAAATCTAGTGAAAAAGAAAAAAATTCTGAATATAAACAAAAATCACAGAGGCTTCAAGCTTCACGTTTTCTAATTTCAATTGAGAAAAGGCAAATTAGAACATTGAACTTGTCAATGTTAAAAACTTTTAAATTGAAAAAAGTAACGAACGAACAGGACGAATCAGAACGAATATAAAATCAACTAAAATGGATTATCAAGTTCTTCTCCCGTCATGTCGTCGTCAAACGAGAGATACAATCTACGAGGGAACTTTTGAATTATTCAAATGCCAACAACCGATTTTATCTTCAGAACCTGAAGGGGTTAACGAAACGTGCATCGAAGTTTAAATCATCGTTAAAATACGCGGGCCTAATTTTTCAATTATCCCAAACGAGGCTAATATCGTGAATATCCCATTGAGATCGGTATCTTTGCACCGTTGACACTAATCGAGATTCCTGCCTGGCCGAGAAACAAACTATTCCACGCACGCGAGCCTCGTCTGTTGGACGCTAATTAATTCCATCCTAATTTGTAATCGTGAAACTCGAGCAGGGGATTTGCCCGTTCTTTGTAATTATCGGGACCACCCAATATCTAATTTCCATAATCAAATTCTATTTACTCGGGGAGAAATGAAAATACACTGTTGAATGAACAATTTAATAATTATCAGTGATTTTTTATAAGTATATTCAATAATTGATCCACTCCCTGCACTTTATGATATTTCAAAAATAAATTTTCCAACGACAATTAAAAAATTATTAGATTCAATTATCAAAGTTTGCTAACAACGATGATAAATAAAATCTATCTGACCAATCTGTTTTACCGATCGGTAAATCATTGCACAACGAATCCACAACGAATTATATACGTGACGTTCGATTAATATTCACATCTTAATCCAGGCGCATGCGCGATATCTCCCTCCCTCGATCGCCTCGATCGGTACGTTTCCCACGTCCGTCGAAAACCTTTAAATCCACGGGATAAAAAAAACAACGTTGGCGCGATTTAACGGAAAGTACATTGTACACTCCGGGGAGGATTGGAAAAACGGGGCGACGTCGATAAATCTTGTATTATTTCTCGCCAGAAATATCGTCTTATCGAGCGTGGAAAAATATTTACAACCGCGTGTCGAAGTTAATGGCGGCGGCGTTTCTCGCCGCGTGTTCACGATTTATTTCCATATCGGCGACGAACACCGATCGTGCAATGCAATTTTTGTATTCCCATCGTGCATGGGGCCGCGCCGATCAAAGACGTCGCTCAAGCATCCGGAAATATTCCTTTGTCGACGTCGGAATTTAAAGTCACGGTCACGGTGTTTAGGTTATGTTGGGTGAATTTAATAAGTGAGCCGAGTTCAAGAAACTCGAAACCGGTATTAACCTGTTGTTTCCTTGACGCTCGAAATGCCGTTTCGAATTTATATTGAGCGATTAAACGATTGCATATTTGTTGTTGGAACATTCGATGGCAATTTTGTTTATAATTTCAGTTCATTTATTTGTATGTATTGAAAAATGTATTTTGTATTACGTTGTAATAAATTTCATACGACTATAAAATTTTAATTCTATGAAATATGAAAAATAGATTCATAAGAAGATATTTTCTTTTTGATAAAGACAATCGAAACAATAGAAAATTAATATCACGTTTCACTTAATAAAAATTCTCAGCAGAACTCAGAACTCTCTTCGAAGAATTTCTTCGAAGCTATTTAACGCGAAAGAAAGAACGTGAAAAATTCAGATCCACGCATCTCAAATTCTACAAATCCAATTGTAAAATTTCACAAAGCTCGAGCGCAATCCTGACCGAAAAATTTCTTCCCGAAACCTCGATTAACCCGAACAGGGTTTCATTTTTCTTCCATTCATCTCGAGTTAAGCTCAACAATGGGTCACCATTTTAACGTTCCTTTTATCAACTTGGCAGCAATCGTTTAAGTGGCTTCCGACGCGTTACCCCGAGTTAATTGTAACCTAGAACTCGGGGCGGGAAGTCGTGTTGGGGAACTGGCGAGATACCGGAAACGCGGGTTGAAATTAATTCGGCGGCAGAGCGTGCACTCCTTGTTTGCAGTTCCACTGCAGTTGATTGTGAAATTTACAAGTGTCGTAACTGGAGGAAACTTTTCCG